GTGTTCTACTGTACAGACGTGAATTTACTTTTCCTTCAGCCTGAGGTTTATTCATTACACTTTTTGGTGTGAAAGGGCTTTTACATTTGCTATAAATAGAACGTCTTATATTAAAAACAATCAAGCCCGGCTCATATTTAAAAAGTAACGCGGAAGTAACGCAAAAGTAACGTAACGCATTACTTTCCATAAAAAGTAACTAAGTAACGTAATTAGTTACTTTTTTAGGGAGTAATGCAATATTGTAATGCATTACTTTTAAAAGTAACTTTCCCCAACACTGGTAGTGATGGCGTTAGCACTTGATAAACCATGAGACTTTGAAGGACAGCAGTTTTTTTAAAATTATTATTACATAAGATTTATGATGATTTTACATATTATATCATATTACATATAAGTTATTTAAATCATATTGCAAAGTACTTTTACATGGACAAAAATACTAAATAGTTTTATTTAAATCTATGATTTAAATCTACAGCTTTAATATTTAGGTGGATTTCATCTAAACATCTCACCTACAACTTTTTCACTGTTGCTGCACCGTAAAAGAAACATTTGTTTCTTTCACATTTTCGTTCTTAAATTTGACTAATTAATGCAAGTTTTAACTATAGACAAAAATGTAAAAAACACTAAATACAATTTTTTTTAAATATTGTAATGCAATAATCTAAATAAAATTTAAAAATACAAGAATTTTGATTTCGACCCTATTTAATTTAAATATTTATATTTAAAATATTTTTTTATTAATTTATTTTTACAATTTTAAATCAAATTCTTATATTTTTATTTTATTTAAATTATTGCATTACAGTATTTTTTTTTAGTATGTAGTGTTTTTTCGTCTGTAGATAACTTGCATATATTTGGAGAATTTGGAAATGTAAATGTGAAATGAACAAATTGTGTGACGTATAAATATTTCACAATGTAAACATAATAAATAATTATTTATTATTATTACATTTAGTTGTAAATAATTAATGTTATGCACTGGAGTAATACAAATGAGGGGGACATGCGCATAATTGGCATGAAAATAACAAAAAATTATATATATAAATATCAAAATTGTTCTTTATTCAAACTATAAGTTGACTTGACCTTTTTCGGGTTTTGGGCCTAGAAGTACAGTACACTCTCAGCTGTGGTCCTCATGTGGTGGATGCAAATCCATCTTATTTCCATCTCGCTCTGGCCCCTATTCATAAAAAGGGCAGAAATAAAATAAAAATCAGCCTGTAATAAAGTGATGCACATGTACTGTGTCCGTTAAATGGGTTTATAGGAAGAACCTGTTGTACCCCAGTTGAAGTAAAACAACAATTAATGCTTCATTCTTGCTGAGATAGATTTGTGCTGTAAATGCAAGCCGTTCAGATCGCTCTCTCTCATTGGCTTCTCTTGGTCCTGTCCGAGGCAGTTAATGACTCAATGCAGTCAGCGGCAATCTAAATGATCGCTGCCAGAACAAAAGTGCATCCATATTTATCTTTTCGGTCAATTTCCCATTAGTTCTAATATAGGTCTGAAAATAGGGAGGCTTTACTGGGTAAAGCAGGCACACAAACAAATTCATCTTAGACTATCGTAATCCATTAGGTCCGCTCTCTTTCTCTTAGTGGCAGATGTAAATAGCGTTTTGTTTTTCAGCCAAACGTAATCTCGTTGAGAAGAACGAATGGTCGTCTAGTGAGAAACGATGATCCTAAATACTCGTTCCAGACTGCCACTACATCACCTAATTTCCTTAATTACTCACCTCCGCTAGACCAGGACACCAGCTAATTAGTGGTTAAGCCCATCTACAAACTAATTAATTAAGTGTGAAGGACCACAGCGAAGGAACACGCAGTTCACAGAGCAACAAATCTCATAACCGTGCTGAGAAGACCAGTCTGAGTTTGGGTTATGATGGTTGGTTAGTACTGGTTTAGTCTCTGGTTAAGATGGTTAGTACAGGTTTAGTCTCAGCCTCAGACTAAATATTCATCCACAGTCCACTACTCAACACTTCAACAGCGGAGCTTCACTAGTGGACGGATACTTTCAGCTGGCCAGTGACAACGGTGAGTCAGTGCTGATACTTCTCAAACTCAAACAATCAGAAATGTACACTTCATCACACTAGTGGATTATAAAAATACTGTGGTGGTACCATGATTCAGTGATGCTATTAGCATTTGATCCCATCACTAAATATACTACATGGTGCAAGTGTTCAGAGCCAAACATTGTATTATGGTTTTCTAAACATATATTAAATAGTGGATTATACAAAAAATTGACAATTTTTTTTTTTTTTAATACATTACTTCCCTAGTAAAAAAAAATATATATTTAAAATACATTTATTTCATACTAAGTATAGTTACAGATATAAAAATTATAATTGAACTTCATTTGGTGTACTACTTGTGCACAATGCACATTTCTTAATATTAAGTCTAAAATGTATTTTAATGTCACTATTGATGAGGATTTTATGATCTTTGAATAATATCGTTCTTTAAATACAAAATATTTAAAGTGCACCTGAAGTATACTTGCAATAGTTCCACTTTAGCACAATCAAATATACTAAGTATATCTTTAATTAGACTTCAGCACTACTTCTGCACAATTAAAGTGCATTAAGTACAAAATTAGTTGTTCCAATTTAGCAGACTAAGTAGACCAGTTTAGTATACTAAAAGTACAACTGCAGGGTATTTTATTAAGTACATAAATATGTAAATATATTTGTAGTATACTTAGCATGAAAAATGTATTTCAAATACATTTAAGTACATTTATTTTTCACTAGGGTTAATACATAAAAAAACTATACAATTCATGAAATTAAATTCTGAGTACTACATGGTGTCCCAAAACTGTAACAATTGTATCACCATTTTCTGTAAAGTGTAATACATTATTAAAATATATTAAAAGATGGAAAACAGTCAATGAATAAATAAATTCCAAAATGGGATACACAAAAAATATATATATATATATTGACTAAATAT